CAATCAATTTGATAATGTTCAACTTAAGTTCTGGCCGAGAGGGCAGAATAAGGAGGCCAACAACATGGCCCAAACAGCCTCAGGAATAAGAGTACCAGCCGGAATAGAAGATCAGTTGATAAAGATAACACGAAGATCTTTGCCATCGGCCGAATTGAGAAATACTATGTTTGATACTTGGACAATTGATGTAGAAGATTTGGTCGACGATGACTGGAGGATACCATTTATAATGTTCCTTCAAAATCCAAACATCAAGGCTGATAGAAGTATTAAAAGAAAAGCGATCAACTTTGTGCTTCTAGATGGGGATCTATATAGAAAAGGGTTAGAAGATGGGCTCTTACTACAATGCATAAGCAAGGAGGAATCACTTCAGGTTATGGCCGAGGTACATGAGGGCAGCTATAGGGCTCACCAAGCTGGGATTAAAATGAGATGGCTGATTCGCAGGTATAGATATTATTGGCCGAGAATGAGGAAAGATTGCATAGATTACTTAAAAGGTTGTCAAGCTTGTCAAAGACACGGGCCGATTCAAAATGTACCAGCAAAAGAATTACAGCCAATAATCAAACTTTGGCCATTCAGAGGTTGGGGCCTTGACCTTATTGGTAAAATTAATCCACCATCAAGCGAAGGCCATCACTGGGTGATTGTTGCCACAGATTATTTTACTAAATGGGTTGAGGCCAAGGCTTGCAAAGAGGTTGATCAGCAAACAGTGATTAATTTCATGGAACAAAACATCATCCACAGATTTGGGATTCCAGAAACACTTGTTTCAGACAATGCAACAGTATTTAGGGCAACTGATGTACTACAATTCGGCCACAACATGAATATTCATATGTCAGCCTCTACGCCATACTATGCTCAAGCAAATGGCCAGGCCGAATCTTCAAACAAAATTTTAATAGAGATCATCGAAAAAATGATCAAAGATAAGCCAGAAGGCTGGCTGAATTATAATCAGCCAGAAGGTTGGCCGAATTATAATCAGCCGCTGGTGGTAAATTAAGATCGACCGGTCATTGATTATCTTAATCAGCCAACGACGGTCGATAAGGTTCAGTTGGCTGATCCTATTAAGCAAGAATATGGTAATGGCCTTAAGCGAATAGGTCGACCAATGTACAAAAAGCCAAAATCAGCCACATCCGACACTCAAACATCTACCATATCTGCCAAAAAGGGAGCAGATGATGAAGTCATGGAGGTCGACAATGATATTTTCATACTAGGTAGTAATGTGATCGGCCAGGCTCCCAAAAGGAAGGTTGATGAAGGGAATCAGCCTAAGGTTACCGAGAGTACACCATCAGCCATTCCGAGTGTCAAGGCTCTCATACAACACGATTGTTGCCCTGAATGGAAAGGTAAAAGAATTTCAGAATTAAATCGGCTAGATTACCAGAATGCTTGGCCGATTATGGTATATAATCCTCAGCCAGAACCATCATTGGCTGAGAGAATTCTTTTAGCTCGTCATCCTCAACCGAATTTCAAGAAAAGAAAGCGGGGATGGAAACTAAAAAGGGTTAAGTGGAGAAGAAATTCGCGGAAGAAAGTTTAAAAATTCAAGAGGATCAGCCATCAGAAAAGCTCTATACTGGTAGAATGTTATTCTTTTAATGGAGAAGCCAGTTAGATCGGCCCAAATAATATTACATAACAACTTGATCCCGGCCGATTACGATCATACCTTACTAGTAGAGTTGGGAAACTTCAATGGTGAGGTCTATCATGTATTTATAAATGGCCAATGTTTTGAGAGGTATCAGCCAGCTTTGTGGGAATAATAGAAGAACCAGGATCGGCCAGCCCTGGCTCTGGCCGACGCAAAATAAAGACCAACATAGAGGTGGTTCGGAAGAAATAAAATCTAGAAGCTCGCTGGCTGCCAGTTTCTTTCATGTTATAAAAATTCCAAAAATCTAATCGGCCTGAGTGGCAGATAAGACATTTGAAATTTGGGGGGCATTTGTTGGCACCAAAACTTGGCAGCCATCTCAGCGATGACGTGGACCAATGAAAAGCTGATAAGCATTTTTAACATGGCGTCAAGGGAATCAGCCAGTTAAGAAATATCAGGAGCAAGTATTGGAGAAAGTTACTCAGCCACTTCATTAACAAGGCAGTTGCTAAAATATAGCAACAAACTTTTGACTTTATTCAAGTTGGGTTATCAACAGGAAAGGAAAGACTAAAGTTTTAAGGAAATCAGACAACTGAATTCCTATTTTATAGGAATTCTAGTTGGATGGAACAAGGAAAAAATACAAAAGGCAGCCGCGTCATGAATATAAAAGCGATAAATGGCTTTTGGGCCATTTAAGGGAATGAAACGGGCTGCTAAACTTAAGGAGGGGAGTTGCTAAAAATTAGTAACTTTTCAGCAACTTTCTAGCAACGTTTTAGCAATATCTCGGCAACTTACATGTGATTAAATCGAGGAAGGTTGTTTTTATAAAGATTTCCTACTGAAACAAAACAAGAAAGGAAGCGGAATAACAATAGGATTTGACTGAGTTCAAATTGTGAAGAAAAAGAATCAAAGAAGGAGAGATTTTTTAGCAATAACTTAGGAAAATAAGTTGAGATAGAACTTCTATAAATAGAAGTATTGTATTCCTATTCCAATTTGTCCAGCACCACCATAAAACATGCATTTCAACTAAAAATGTTTTCAATTGACTCAACGTCATTTTCTTATCAATTTCTTTATTTCAATTTAATGGCAATTGATTAGATCATTGTCAACTATTTCAATTCAGCCATTTACTTTCTTTCAATTTCAATTATGCCAATTTTAATTACGCAATTTTAGTTAGGTTTTCAATTCAATGGCAATTGATTAAATTCTTGCCATTGAATCGTAGTGACAATTGATTAAATTCTTGTCATTACTTGGCTGTTGGCAATTGATTAAATTCTTGCTATCACGTTTCAGTGGCGATCGATTAAATTCTTGCCATTGTGTTTGGCTGATGGCGATTGATTAAGTTCTCGCCATCACGTTCGGCCGGCGACCGATTAAGTTCTTGCCGCCTGTCTTCACTCGGCCATTCCATCCATTCAAACATTCATCAGCCGTTGCATTTATTTAGACACTCTAAAAAGTCCTTGCTACAAACAAGGTATAAAAGAACCTTGCTGGGAGTTCTTACTAGTCTCTCTCCCACACAATTGCCTTAGAGTCAGCCATCGGAAAAAGGGATAGGCTGGTGTTCAATTACATATTTTGGGTATTTTGTACAAATACTCTGGCACGCCCGCGAAGAGTCCATCGACCGGCGTAGGGAACAAAAACCGCGCGAACAGTTATCAACAAGGCTTCCGAATGGTATTGAACACGTTCCAAGATAGAACATTACTTCTGCTCAAACGGGGGCACAAAACAATTGTGCTTCACAAACGGGCCTTAATAGTATTACTTGATGGAGGAAATATAGTTTTTGAAATTCGACTCTGACATTTTGAGCTGAGTTGAAGTTTCTTAAACATCTTTGGAGGGGGTGGCTGGCGTACTAAATCCTAAAAGTAATATACTCTCTATATATATATATAAATATAAATAAATATTAAGTAAAAATATATAATCGGAACAAGATGAATTACTTAATAAACTCATCCTCTCCTCGCTTGGATTCTTGCAAAAATTACATATGGTATTGGACTCGATTAACATACACTTGAATTAAATGCAATATAACAAACCCTTAAAAAAAAAAAAAAAAAAAAAAAAAAAAAAAAAGGAGACTCAGAATAATGTACTAAGCTCCGTTTGTACTTAAAACATTATTTTTATAAAATACTTCTTATGCAATTTTTTTGAGTGTTTGGCTGAGTTTCTAAAAAAAATTTCCTAATTTTTTTCTTCTGCTTTTTGGCTCCTGAAAATGCCTTTTTAGTGAAAAGCTCTCCCCCCATTTAAGTGTTACTCTACAAAAAGTACACACGATAGCATTCAAAGATTTACCATGACCTTATGGGCGGGTACCGGGTCATTAGTGTGAAAAGAAGAAGGGTTATATTTGTGGGTGGTGTTATTTTTAAATAATATAAGATATTTCGGATAAAATTTAAGAACAAAATCGTGAAGACTTGGATGCACTAACAGGCTAGTGGTGTTGACGTTGACAATTATAAATTACATTAGAACTCATTAAGAACAAAATAAAATTCAAAGTAGTGAGTTGCACTACTCTTCTCCAATACCGACCACGAAAGAAGAGTAGTGCTAAAAACCATATAGTTGCAGAAACTCAAAATTGCATTATGATATATCAGCCATTTTTTCCATGTAAGTTTTAGTAGGCCTTTTTGTCGCTTACCTTAAAAGCAAACAACTCTTTGTTTGATTCATGCATTTTCGGATTAACCATTATCAACATGTCTTTGTTACTTAAAATGGAGCTCTCAAAAAAAAAAAAAAAAAAAATGTAATTGAAGAATGGTAAAATCATAAAATAGTAAAATCTTAATTATATTTCATATGGGTGTCAAGACAAACATATACAGACTTGTTTACATGGTTGGAGGGACATCTCTTTTAGGAGGCAGATTATGATAATGAAGGTGTTCTATATGGAGTCGTCGGCTTGAGGGTAGAGTTAGAAAAGGTGGGGTGAAAGTAAAATGAAAGATTTAGATGTAATTAGTAAAATATGAATAATAATTTTTGTTTCGACAATACTTAGGTTCTCACTAGTAAAGATTTATAACATACTCACACAATACATGAATAAATCCAGGAATAAGCATAATAATAATCAGATATAAAGAATCATTTTATGCAACCAACACAAGATTAAAATCATATAATCTCCATTTAACTTGCTGAAATAGTTAAAAGCAATTAAATCTTCGAAATCAAAATACCTTTTACTCATATTTTAATTTTTCAAAATCAGAAGTTTAATTTTCCAAGTGAACAAGACTACCTTTTACTCATATTGGCACCGTGGACGGGAGCCAAAACTCAAAATATCCTTAAAACACTTTTTTAAAAGAGAGATTCAAATAACTTTCGAATTTCGATCTCGCCATCGGAGATCTTCTATTGCAAGTCCTTTGGATCCTTCCCGTCTACAATACAGCCGACGGAAACGCAAGTTCCGAGGACCTCCTCCACCGTGCCCGCCAATTCCTTGGCCATCGATCTCGGCCGCATGATGATCTTCGCGATCTCGATCACGTCATCAAGAGAAATGTTGCCCGTGTGCTTGATGTTCTTAGTCTTCTTGCGGTCGCGCTCGGGCTCTTTCAGGGATTTAATGACCAGAGCGGCGGCGGAGGGAACCACAGAGACCTTGGCCGGGCGGTTCTGGACAGTGAGTTTGACGGTGACTCGGAGCCCCTTCCAGTCCTTGGCGGTCTCCTTCGCGATGTCTTCACCGATCTTCTTCGGAGAGAGACCGAGAGGACCAATCTTCGTAGCAAGCGAACTCACCGTTCCGACCTCGCCACCGGTGACTCGTACGAAAACGTCGACAACCTGCGAGGGATCAAACTTCGGGGACATGGTTGCGGAGAGTTAGGTAACACGAAGGGCTTTATAATGCTATGTTCGGTAATACGAAGGGCGTGTATATAGAATGCTATGTTTGGAGAGAAAATAGGAAAGAAACAATTTCCAGAAACAATTTCCTTTCTTTTTTGGGTAGGATTGATGCAAAGAAAGAAAGAAAAATAGGAAGGATGATATATTCTTCCTAATATAAATAGGATTGGACTATTATTAATAGGATCAGAAGTCCAAATAACATAAATAGAAGACAACAACATGTGCTGCAATTTAGTAAGAAATCAGAAGAAGAATCTGCAATAAACCAAGAACCAAGCATAAAACTGTTGGGAAACGTGCAAGTTTTAAAAACTTTTCGAGGGATTTTGATTCATAGATCTTGATTCATCACATAGAGACAAGTTTTATGCAAAAATAAAAATATGATGTATCATTCAATTAATGGATTGAATACTTACATCAAAGGTCTGAGTAAACCTTTAAAACTTTCCTCTAAAGTGAATGTTCTCACTTATTGTAAATTCCTTAGCAAGATGCCTTCTCCTTGGATCTCCATCTTCTTGGTAATTATTTTGCCTTTAGGAATCACTCATAAGCCTCCATGAATTACCTTGGAAAACTAAGCTTGTGGGAGTCTCCATTAGATGAGAACATAAACCCTAATTTTCTAGAGAGAGAAAATTTATTCCTTTTTCCTTCTCATAAAAATCACCCCCTAAAATATACATAAACCATGTATATTTATAGGCAACATAAAAATAAAGAAAAGGAAACAACAAATCCTTCTCCACCTCTAATTCATATGTCTCAAATCTAATATGATTCCAATATCAAGTTAGGCTATGAGTGAGAATCCATTGGGCCTATTATTTTATTGGCTACAATGAATTAATGATTGGCTCGGTCCATGGACCCAATTAAATTAATTCATAAATTAATTTCTACTCCACTAAAAGAAATTAATTGAACTCCAATTAAATAATAAATAACCTCTAAGTCAATGTTGCACTTTGACCCCTCTATGCATAATTAGTTATCGGATAAATAATGCCATCAATCCGACTACTTAATTAATATATTTATTTTGGTACCTTTGATTATTTCTGACTTGATCACAATAAAACATTTGTTTGACAAAAAATAATAATTTAATAAATATATAATAAATCATTTTGTCTAAAAACATACGAAGGCCTTCGAATTTACTTTGTGATCAACCATAATCAATACAAAATAAATACAAGTAGGAATGATGCAAATATTGAAAATATAACCCTCTAACTATTAATTACATAACTATCCAAAGTGTCGGTCTAAGGATTCCGAAGAATCCGCTGAACAAATCAAAGTAATTATTAATTAATAAAAGAGTCTATAATTTTCTCATGTTTAAGAGTCAAATGCTATGACGGTGATAGGGAGCAATTGCATATGACGGCTCTCGCAATATATCTCAACCTAACGCGGATCCAGTTCAAGTCTTAATTAATTATGAGTCCATCCATAATTACTGACTATGAACAATTTATAATTACTATGTATATATCATGCATTGATTGCCATCACATACATATATATAAATATTTCTCGTAATCACAGGGACACTATCAATTTCATAGTGAATCGAAACATAATACATTGAATTCACCAATTATATAAATCATAAATATTTCAGATATGTCAGGAACATATGTCACTATAATCCAGATAAGAATTTGCTATGCCAGGGCATATAAATCCCAATAGCTCCCACTTGCCCTCATAGACAATTCAAATTGCACCTAACTCCAATGTTATCCAAATGATGATCAAAATTATTGATCAATGACACCTTTGATAATGGATCAACAAAGTTGTGTTCCAATGCAATGTTCTAGCTACAAGTACATTTTCTTGCTGGACAATATCATGTTGAACATGATACTTCCTCTTAGTGTATCTTGTACCTCTATAGAACCTTGGGTCATTGGTTTGGACTACTTCTACACTATTGTCGTAATATAGCTCGATAGACAGGCTAGTATGCTCCACAACCTCTAAATCTTAACAATCTACCAACTGATTTCCCTTCCATTAAATGAACATACACTAAGTCATGAACCTCATAGTATCTACTTCTGATTGAGAATCAGAACTAGCATACCTGACTAGGACCATATCATCACATCCATAAATGAGTATGATATCATTGGTTCTCCTTAGGTACTTAATGATATTTTTCACAACAGACCAGTTATCAAGTCCAGGATTGGACTGATATCATCTGACTATCCCTACAATGTAGCGGATGCTCTGTTTGGTATAGACCATGGCATATATGAGACTTCCATATGCCAAAGCATATAGTTCCAGTCTCATTTGCTCAATCTCCTCTGCTAGTCTTGGAAAACTACTTACTAGAGAGAGCAATCCATATTAATAAAGCAAGAACTCATTCTTTGAGTTATGCATACCAAACCTGGTCAAAACTTTATCAATGTAGGATTATTAAGATAAGCCTATTTTCCTTTTAACCTGATCTTGCAAAAGCTTGATCCTAGGAATATAGCTTATATCTTGAAGATCCTTCATTTCAAAGTAATTGAACAACTACATATTTATTGATGACAAAACTTCCACATCATCCTAACTGAGTAGGATGTCATCAATATATAGAATTAAGAAAAATAATGACATTCCCTTGTACACTCATGATTTATTCATTAAGAAATCTTCTGGTATCTTTTTGTAGATTAACTTGCCTTCCATAGGTATCACCATACTAGAAAGTTCTACAAGATCCCAGAATTTATTAGAATACATAGATTCCAACTCTGATTTCATAGTAACTCACCAAAACGATCTGTATCCATATCGGTTCACGCTTTCGTGTAGCTTACTGGGTCCAACTCATGTTTAACAAGGATGTCTATAATGGTCTCACCTAAAAACATGATTCTGTCGGTTGGATGATAATCCTCCCACTACATTAATGTACCGATGCAGGAATCTGTGTACTAGATGATGCTAACGCATCAATAGGGAATTCATATATTATTCTCAATCTTTATAATAAGTGTGTTCACATGTGGTACATCTGGTACTCATACCAAATTCTCTAACATTATGCTACTAGGTATGTGATTCATAATATGATTCTCCTATAAATAAACAGTGAGTGAAAACAATCAACTTTTATCTTTGAGATCATAAAATAATCCATCCTAGTGACTTTAGAGTAGCTATCAAATATAGCATGCCTATGATCTGCTTCCAACTTATTTGTCCATATCAAGCACACATGTGCAAGACTACCCCATATGTGCATGTGATTCAAACAAAGATTTAGTCAAAAACACAGCTCAAACAGTATCCTTGAGACAGACTAAGATGGAATGCAGTTCATAATGTGCATCGATATCATTAACGCTAAACTCTTAAATGAAAGAGATAATGTAGCATAACTGTTCATAGATCTAACCATGTTAAACGGAAATTCTGTTATTCTTATTTGACACCTCAATCCATTGAGCGTTAATTGCGGAAAACTGGTACACAACACCCTCATTGACCATATAGTCTTTGCACTATCCCAAGAAATACTTATATCCTCGATCAGATCGAAGTGTCTTGATAAGTTTACCTAATCTGTGCTCCACATCAGTCTTGACCTTCTCAGAATATACCAAGAGTTTAAGACTTGTGTTGCATCAGATAAACTTATCCAAAACGTGAGTAATCTTGCTTGGATGTTCATAAGATCACACGTGTCAGTGTGTACCGACTCCAATTATCCTTTATGTCTATTTCATCTGGCTGATTAAGCCCTTAGAGTTATTTATCCTTCAAAACAGGGTTCACAAGTTTGGTTTAGGCTCCTCTGCCTCACTAGGTAATTAACCTTCTTTGACCAATCTTTGAATCTCATTTTGACTGATTATAACCCAAAAATAGACACTAAAAATACAATGAGTTAGGAATAACAATTTTTTTCTTAACATTCAATCTAGAATATGCAACATTAATTTCTACATCCTGCAAATCTTAAGAGTTTGTGATTATAGTATATTAACTATCTTTCAATGCACCAGAAGCAATCGCATATCTATTCAATTTTATAAAACCAGTTTTACAAAATAACAACACAGTTTTTATAAACCAAAAATGAAATAAGAATGAGATTGCGTCTAACATCTGTGCATAAAGATAGTTCTCTAATATTAATATCCTCATACTCTCTAATTTTAGATGTAATACTCCCACTAACTTAGTTACAACCTTGACATCAGGTCAAGTACAAATATATTCCATACCATCAAGGCTTCTGGATTCCTGAAATCCTTGCAATGAATTGCAAACATGTTTTGTGACTTCAGAATCTATTCATCAGGAATTAATAGATACAACCACATAACACGGCTCAATGATTAAATATATATTTTCCTATACCACGTCATTGCTTAGACAGTTTGTCCTTTAGTGTCTTAGTTAATGATAAAAGAAACAGTTTTCTTCACCCTCAACATACACTGCCTTATTCCCTTTAACCTTTTGGATACCCATGTTTTGTGCTAGCCTAGTCCTATGATCATCCTTTTTCTTTGCTTTGACCGTCCACTTGGGCCTAGAAGAAGATGGTATAGACTAGGTTAGATTGATAGGAACATCCATACTCTTGATTATCTCTTCATCTGTTACCAATTCTATAAGAATATCAGCGAGTGTGAACTCAAACTGATTCCTTATTTAGTTCACTCTAATAGAGTCGAACGAGTTTGGTAACAAGGCAATAATCATGTCAACTTAAAACTTATCACCTAAGTCAGCCCTATTAATCTCCAGCTAATTTTAAAATAATAAACAATCATTTTCCAAAATTCGATTTCATACTGGAGTTCCTTAGGCTATCTTGATGATATTCAAGTCTGATATAGTACTTTGACATACTCTCTATCTAATCTCACCAAAACATCTTATTGACATTTAACATGATGCTTAAAGAAAATAAAATAATGTAAATGTTAGC